CTTCAGAAGATATATCTGTTATATGCACGGCACTTGGATATTTAAAAGATTTCAGTGTACTCTTTCAATACAATAAAACCTTAAAAGATGGAGTATTGCTTATAGAAGTGCTGAACAAGGATATATCTGATCTTTATATTATGACGCAAGAAAGTTCAATAACGTATTATGAGTACCGGAAACGAGCTGAATATTTTTGAACTAAATGATTTAAGAATTATGTAAAGCAAATTTATGTTAAATATTAATAAGAAGGTATCGATATATCAAGAGCAGACTTCAATTTAAATCAAATCGAACTTTTGTGTAATTAGAATCCGTGATTTTGGTTCTGAAACCTTGTTTATACTTGTAAAATAAAAAACATATTTGTAAAATTAACAATAAGACAAAAAAAAATCTGCCAGCTTTCAGATTTTATATTACGCCCAATATGGCGCTTTTTAACGTTTTGCGTGTTACCTTTGTTTATTAAATATCATGTTCTTCGCACTTAAACCATAAAATTCAATTCAACAGCAATATTACAAAATATTAAAAAGAGCATATCTTTAGAATTTCCTATACACAGTCTTGCGCATTGGAGATAGTTTTTTTTTCTTTCGGACAGTGTTGCCATTGCTCGCTTTGAAATCGTTGAGTTCATTCGGATGGAGACATACGTTATTCAAAATTTGATGGCTCTAGATTTCTAGACCGTTGTTTTATCAAAATGCGAGAAACATACATACATTTATGCACATTATTCATTATTTAATTTCTTTAAATATAATATAGGGCTATAAAATTTCGTGGCAACAATTTCAAAAGGGATTCGCCATTTATAATGAATAAACGCAAAATGCCAAAACGAAATTAATAACCCTTCTGGGCTAACGCTCTTTGGGATAATTATATTTGCAAAATTAAAAGTAACCCAAAAACAATAAAACATAAAACTAATAGCCAACCTTTTCAATGCTTTTTTCATATTCTTAGTCTTAATGCAATCTTTAAGTTTATTTGTATGCAGTTGTTTGCGTTATGATTATATTGTATGCTACATATTACAGGGTTCGGGATAAATTTGACAGTTTCGTAAGGAAAAAGAAAATCCGCTTGTATGAGTAGTAGCGAAGGTCTTCATTAAGCTTCATAGTAGAGGCTGCAACATTCATTACACGTACAAAGCCCGAATTCCAATGCCAGGGTTCTTCAACATCTGTTCCTGCAGATTTGCGAGGAATTCTGCTGTACGAACGCAATCAAATCGTCTGCTAGGGATCTTTATTCTTGCTACATCCTCGTAGTCACCATTGCAAATCTCTAGTTCATGCCTGATTGTTTTTACTGTGTTCAGGGAGCATTGGGTAGCAGTCATAATATCCTTATTTTGATGGCCGGCACGAATCATCATAATGCAAGTGGTTCAGGTTCCAGTCATCCATCCTTTCTAACATCTTGTATATGAATGAAGAAGGATCCAAACTTTTAAATGACGAGTAGTGTGTGTCAATACCTCCAACCCACTGAAAAATATAATCAATTAATTATAAATATGTCAGATTTATCCCGAACACCCTGTATATTTCGAGAAAAATGTAAAGGGGGGTTGATGAAGAAAACCATTCTATTAAAAGGTATCGATGCAAGAAAAAGTTGGGGAACCTTCTATTCTAAATAGGCAACTCTTTTTTACTACTTCTAATTTATGTATGAATAACCGAAATAGTGTTCCTTGCTTAGTAGTTTTTTTAAACTTTTAATTCATATAACACGCCTACATGCATCAAACTCATACAGGAAATTATGGCATACCAAATATAATCAAGCCTCTAGGTTTATTCCGGTTTAGAGACTCAGCTGCCATATGTCTAATTATGCAGATAGCGTATGGTTTTGTACCTGTATGACTAGAGTAGGCTTCATAAATTACCGTACTCTTTCTAGTCTATAGTCTGTTACTTTAAAATAGGGACGTCGTTATTTTTCGCCACTCGATTTGACTCGTAACCATGGGAACTACAGCTGCGGAAAAAAATCGACTTTTTTTTTCGCGTCATTTCGTTTAGAGTGCTCCATAAAAAACTCGCGAAGGCTGTTTTGAACTACAGTCTTGGATGACGTGGAGAAAACTAATGCTTTGCCGTGATGATGATACGAGTTACGATCGCAAATGCCAAGGAGGGTGGCAATGACCTGGAAATGAGCATTATAAAATAACAGACTGCAGCATGTCGCTTCATAGAAAAATATGAAGTTACACAAATGAAATAATAAATGCAAGCGCGTGAAAGAAGAAGAACGAGTATTATTGCATGAAATTATGTGAATCGTATATTGGTACTTCACCAACCTATTATTTCTTTTTATTCTCTGTAAATCAAAAATCTGTATTAATAGTATTATTATTGCATTCTAATGTATAATAAAATATACCAAGAGCATAAATATGGAACTTACAGAATATAAGAAAGTACCGAATCTTTTACTAAGAGCAAAAGAAAAGAAATATGTCATGTTAAATGCAAGGGCTTTATAGGTTAAGAGGGATTAACAGTTTATGCATATGTGTTTAAAAAGTTGCATTAGATTAAATTACCAAGAAGAAAATCAGTCACAACTCTTCAAGCGCTTGCTGCAAGTTTTACGTGTATTACCTCGATTTTTATAACTAACTATCCTTCTTTTATTAAGTAAGTTGTGATTATAATTAATCCAGAATTCGATTGCATGCTTTTTAATGTGTTATTGGATTATATGCGGCTTTTCGTTTCACAAGAAATATCAGCTGTGTAAATGCTTAACGTAAGTAAATGAACTTCAGTATTTTCCTTTCACATCTTTTACGTTTTTTATTTTATCTTATTAGAATTTCCAGTTACAAAATATTATGGAAAAAAGTTATGGAATTTGCAATATACGTATTTTTCTCAAATAAAAAATTAATAAATGAAGCTTGAAAACTTCCGATTACAATACACGACCAACTATAGGAAAAAAGTATCGTTAAACATTTTTAAAAATCAAATACGTAAAAAAGTCTAAAATATAAAGGAATCATATAAATATTTAGCTTTCCTTCTAAGAGTAATATTTATATTTGGCAATTTATAAAACTAGATCTGAATTGTTTAATACAATGAAACTATACTCAAAAGTAATTTCAATTTTAAAAGTTTCAGCATTTTCTTCTGCATTTCTCTTTGAACGCAAAGTGATATAAAAAGAAAAATATAAAATATTAAGAAAATGTCTATTTGCCATTGAAACAGAACTAAAGGAATGAAAGTGTATAAAGATAATGTAATTATAAAACCTCATCAGAATCATTAGATTTTATTTTTAATGCAGATAAAAGTATGCACAAAAAAGACCAAAACTCTTTTTAAACTCTTCTAAGACTCAAAGGCTAAAAAGCACCGAAGTGTGTTTTTTACAACCTTCATCGTATAAAACAACACTTGTTCCAAAATCGAGTAATGCCGCATTCAGCTACGATTTTTTTGTAAAAGGATAAAATTCCTATTTATCATTAAATGGAAATCAAGTCTATTAATAGAAACTGCGATTTTTATCGAAAGAGAACAATAACCCCTCTTCGAAGTGTTTAAAAAATTTAAACTGTTTCTCTTTTTCAATTTTGTTAATTAACACTTTCTTTTACTTTCTTCTGTGATAGCTTAAGAATATAAAAACAAGCTTATCTCACTTTTACTAAATAACTGACTTGAGAGAAAAGGTCATTTTTCTGTGTTGCAAATTTTAAATGTTTTAAAACTGCGATATATCGAGTGATTTCTAGCATTCTCTTATTGAGTTTATAGGATTCTATGAAACTCATCTTGATAAACTTTGATAAAGAGTAGCGTTCTTTAAGAAAGCAGCTGAAATTCATGTCAGTCACCATTTTTAGGCAAAATATATTGAATTAATTCTTTTCTTTTTTAACAAGCTGATATATTATAAACCATTACTTTAGAATAGACACTTTAAAGCCAATTTCCCCCTCAAGCTGTGACTCATAACCATAGCCGTACCAAGATATGTTTTCACCTGAGGCAAAAAGGTAAATGCGCGCCCCTATATATATATAGTTACATTTGTATTAAACAAAAGTAAATGTATTAAATCAAAATATCATAATTTTATAACATAATTATACCATAAATCTTAAAGTATTTTTCAATCGTAGTTTTATAAATTCAAAAAAATAATATAGCTAATTATTTATAACTTTCAAATTAAAATGTTAAAAAATTCTTTTTTGATAAATAAGAAATAACATCGAAATGCGCATTGCATTAAGTTCCAGGTTTTCTTGCAATTCTTCCTATTGTTTTATTAATTTAAGTTTGCCGAAGCTTATTTCCCCTAATAATTACTGACAAATTTAAAAACATAATTAAAGTAATTTTCGAGTTCATATAGCCAATTTGGCGCCCCTTCTAGTGATTCACCTGAGGCAAATGCCTCACTTGCCTAACTTTTGTCCCGGCTTTGTTCATAACCCTGATAACGCTTGCTGGGGAAGTGGGGGAAAAGACTGAAACTTCTAATTTATATATTTTAGTTCCCTCTGTGTAATGATGACGATAGACGTTACGATCATAAACGAGGGGAGCGTATCTATGACCATGAAGTGCTCATTTTTAAGTAACAGACTATAACTATAAAAACTATAAAGTAAAAGACAATAACTATAGTAATTAACGCGTTAATAAGCCATAGCATTAAACTTCGTCCTTTGCGTATTCTGGCAAACTATCCGAACAAGATATAATAATGGTTTTTTTGTGTCAGATGTAGATTGGTGTTTCAGATGTATATTGGTGTTTTAGATGTAGATTGTGTAGATGTGGTTGTTTTGTTTCAGATTTGTTAGTAGCAGGAAAGTCTAAAATTATTTGGCAGATTTGTTTATCTTAAGTACAAATTGTTCTTTTATGTTTGTTCTTATATATTAATTGTCTTCCACACATTTATTATATTCCTGAATTTATATCAGTTGTCATTTTCAGGTCGTAGTCTGCTTCAATTTTCCAATGACAGCTTGATAAAATGTATACCTTCAGGTATAGATTCCTTTCCGGACGACTTTATGACTCAAGAACAGAGATTGAAAGGAGGTGTTATCATCCACTGCATCATTCTTCTGTATACCTGCGCAATGATAGCCGTTGTTTGCGATGATTTCTTTATACCGTCTCTTGAAATTATTTCAGACCGTAAGTATAAGAAATAATTGTATCTTTGCTAAACTTTTCATTTTAAATAAAGCTTATAATTTTAGTCATTTAGAACAATGTAACTGATTAATATTTCACTATTTTCCTAATGTTTTATAGTTTATGAATAAAAATTAAATTAAAAAAATACTCAATAAATTTTTCTCGCCATTGGAGTCTTTTTTTTTTTTTTTTTTTTACCTTCGACGCGTTTATCCGAGAATTTTGGGAATGCAGCAGTATGATTGCAATGATTTATTCCGATAAACGCTTTAGAATATGGTAACCTATAGTATATATACTATCAACTATCACAATTTATCAAATCAATATATTGATTTGATAAATTGCGTATTACAAAGAATGCTTGCAGCTCAGTAGAATATAGTAATGAGTGAAGTATAGTTCGCAGTGAACGTTAAAATGCTAGAACAAAGACATCTCATGTTTTCTAATTTAAGTCGCAAATTTATAATTTACTAATGTGGAGCAGAATGGAAAGAAAAATAACTATGAAGAATATTTTAGTACTGCATTCAAATTTACTAACTAGAATTTCATCAGAAATTAATTTTAAGTTTCTGTAGCTCATGATTCCTTTCCTACTCTCTGAACGTAAGGACTAAATTTAAAACATGTGAAACTGGATTTTATTCTAATTTAATTGTAGTTAAACACGGACGTAGAGCACGCAGAAGTGCTGAAAAATGCACGCCGTTCGATATTATTGTTACGAATAAGCTTATTTTTTATGAAAAGTAGTTAATATTTATAAAATAGCACTGGATACATCTATTTAAATATTTCTTAAATTACATTTGCGTTCTTTTGAATACGAGTTTTGATTAATTTTGTTGAATGATCGATGTAACTGAAGCAATTCAATTTTAAAAAGGAGCTTTCCTGAATGAAACATCATAAAATCAAAAACAAGATAAATTTTGTGCGCTTGTAAGTTCACAAAAATTGTGGGATCTTTTTGATAAACTTAATTTATTTCATAATTAATTCAATTTATTTTATGTGCAAGAGAGCAGGATGTAAAGACGAGCATTAATTTTGATTATTTTAGATTTGAAACTTCCGTCCGATATCGCTGGCGCAACGTTTATGGCCATTGGAACTTCAGCTCCCGAATTGTTTTCCTCCATAACAGGTTAGTATACAAAGAATTCAAGACGTCAGTTTTTGATTACGATTCGGAAACGTTTTTTGAGAGAAAGGGGAGAAAATGGGAGATTGACCTCGTTAACTATGATGTATGAAGCCTAGAGGTTATAACCAAGAACTGATGCTTCAAGTTATAAGGTATTTCTCCCGCCTTCTTAGCGAGCCTTCGTGGTGTAGTAGTCTGCACGCTCAGCGCGCAATTGAGAGGTCCGCGGTTCGATTCCCGAAGAAAGCGGTTGCTAAGTTTTCATTTTACCTGCTTCCAAAAAAATACCTAATGTTTCTACAAAGTGAATTTTGAAATACGCGAAAATCCTGTAATCAGACGTAGCACAAGTTCAATAGAATGGTTAATAGGAACCTTATTACTATAAAATAAGTAGTAATGCTTTATTATTCTGCTACTTCATTGAACATGCATTTGTCAACATCAATCATAAAAAAACAGATCCATCAAGATCAGTGAGCATATGCAAATGCACTTCTTACTATAGAAATAATCTATACTGTTCATCCTTTTGCAGCCCACCAACGGCCAAGCGGTAAAGTTGCTGAACACTGGTAGTTCGGTCCGAGGTTCGAATCCCGCTGGCTACATGGGCGTTTTCGTGGTTTTCCCCATGTGTACCGTGTCTCCCTTAGAAAGTTCCCCACGAAGGCGTCCCTCCCCTTAAGCAGATAGCCCTAGTGTGCTTTGCCATATTTAAATAAACCAAACCATACCAATCATCCTTTTGCGTGATAAACTTCAAGATAAAAAAAATCCATTGGATCAAAATCATTTGTTTTACGTAAAATTAAAATCTGCTCTGAAACATCTGTCCTAAATCCTCATTCCATTTGTAATACACATACATACTCCAAGATTAAAAAACATCAAAGCACAAACTGTATTTGAATATCGAAAATTAAATACCTGACGAAAATTTAAAATGTCGCTTACAGAAATATTAACTTGTCATCGAAATATTTAAATATATTTGTGTTTTTTGATGCAATCAAAACGCAAAACGCAGGGTAGATAACTATATAATTCATCCAATAAAGTATGATAATTTTCTCTGTGAGTGAAATAACTCTTTCTTGACACCTTGAAAGAGTGCCTCATTCTGATGGAATTCAATAAATCCATGAAAATACTGAAAACTCAATACAGCACATAATTAGAATTGTTACTCAAGCTAAAATGCTAATCGAAATTTATTTCAACTGAAAATATTTCATATATCCGTTTCATATATACGTATATCCTTATTGTAATTCAAATTTACTCTATCAATTTCCATTAGAGCTAATAAAATTAGCGTAATTTGCTTTTTTAACAGAATATTCTGAACTCAAATGCAGGTCAGTTTTTTTGTCGGATATATACAGGAAAGACATCTTGCACGTTTCCAATATATCATCATTGCTAAAAATTACCAAAACAGCATCTGAAAGTCTTTTAAAATCCATGAATACCACAAAGCATTTAATTATTGTTCTTAATTCATCTATCTGCTGATAAAAATTTCATTGTTATTCGAGATCGTCTCTAAGTTCCTCTAAAGGAAGTTTCTCATAGTTTGTTTAGTAAGAAAAGTATATATGCAGAAGTTTGAAAACGTTCTGGAGGATTTACTTCTCAACAAAGCTTGTTTCGAAACTTCTGTAGTTTTATGTGAAATTCAGTGAAATTATTTGGCATATCTGCTTCTTAATACATACAGCTCATAACAAATACAATATGGAAAGCTCAAGCAGAAACGGAGACATTAGCTGCCGAAGTCCCTATGCCTATCCGGTCGCGGACACTTAGCCGATAACCACTTAGCCAACAAGACACTTAACCGACACCAGTCGGTCGACAGGGATTTAGCCGACACAGACACTTAGCCGACATGGTCATTTAGCCGACACGGACCGAGAGGTCATTTAGCCGACACGGACACTTACCCGACATGGACATTTAGCCGACAGGACATTTAGCCGACAAGGGCATTTAGTCGACAGGACATTTAGCCGAAAAGGACACTTAGCCGACTAGGACAGTTAGCCAACACGGACAGTTAGCCGACAGGACATTAAGCCGACAATGAGTCTCGCTTTTCCCAATGCATTCAGATTTCTAGTACTTTAACATTTCATTGCTATTTTGCTCAACACATCAAGCTACATCCATTCTCGTATAAAGTCACTAATGAAATTTCCTTTCACCGTCAGGAAGTAGAATGATTCGCCCTACTCCTCGCCATAAAATTTCTTTGGGCTTTGCATTTACTATACCAGATTTGTGAAGGACTTTTCCTTCATCGCAATGCCCTCTTCAGAGACTGATAAACGGCCATTAAAATTTCTTTTAGACAGAAGAATGTGAGGATGCATTTTACAAAATGAAGGAAGCTTTAACATCTTCGACAATCCTGACGCATCCTCGGGTTAGCTTAACTAACCAGGAAAGGAATTCCTTTGACTGCAGGAAAGATCCTTAGAACACTTCCACCATTATCTGTACTGCCAAAAAAATTCTATACCACACAGATCATGCATCGCTGATTTGGCTTTAAAATTTCAATAATCCTGATGACCAAATAACCAGATGGATACAGAGATTTCAGAAATACGACATCACTATCCGTCATTGGAAAAGATCATCACATGGAAACACCAACTCCCTCCCTACCCAAAAGACTCTGTTGCACATCCAAGATGCTCTTCGTTCAGGCCCTTCGTCTACGTTGTGACCTGTCATTCGGTCACTCTCAGGATGCGCCTTCATCGCCTTAGAAGCACATTCAAGATCTGAAGACACGGTTTCAACTGATACACATTTTTTTCTGGACAGCGGGTTAACTTGGCGACGGAGAAGATGAAGACCCGATACGACACGAGTGGTACAGGACATTCATTCAACGAATGTAACAAGGTTTGGTTAGAGTATACGATTCGATTGAAAGAACTTTCTCCTAAACCACAATCACCCACGGACGGTCTTTACGTACTCTGGAACGTGAGGAATGCACTTCTTAGAAAGATAAAATAACACGAAAATGCCATCTTGCATAGAAAAGAAGAACTAATAAAATAATGCATTTTCCTTTTAATTTTATATGTCGGAAGATTTATTTGATGTGAAAGTCTTCGTGGAGGACATTTTAAGGAAACCTGTCTCTTATTCCCGTTATATATTGAGGAAACCTCGGAAGACCAACTATGCAGCCAATTCGTCTGCCAGGGTTCAAACCCTTATCAAATTATGAGCATTCAGCAGTCTTAACTAGGAGGGAGTATAATTCTCAGAAACATAAAATAAGGAGAAAATATTGTTTTTATATTCGAATCAGTATAATAATTTAGAAAGGAAAAATAAAAAGTAAATAAAAAAAGAAAAGTTTATTACACTATAACAATAAAAAATCTGAAATGTTTCAGATTTTAAATTCCGTCCAAAGGGGCGTTTTTTAACATTTTGTGTGTTACCTTTCTTTATTAAATATCATGTTCCTCGCACTTATAAGATCCAGTGCAACAGCAATATCGCAAAATAGTTTTAAAACGAGCATATCTTTAGAATTTCCGATACAGAGACTCACGCGCTGGAGATAAAAATGTTTTTTCTGCACAACGTTGCCATTGATCGCTTTGAAATCCTTGAGTTTGTTAATCAAAAATTCGTCAAAGTTTTAAAAAATAGGAAATCGATCATAAAACAAATTTCAAATTTCAAATTTGGTCTTCCACATGCTCATATTCGTTGGAGTATTACGTTATTCAAAATTCGATGACTCTATGTACCGTTATTTTATGACAATGTGAAATATACATACATTTACGCAGATTTTCATTATTTAATTTCTTCAAATATAATGCAGGACTCTAACATTTTATGGCAACAGTTTGAAAAGTGAACCGACATTTATCCGTCCGACGCAAAATGCCAAAACGAAACTAATAGTCCTTCGGGATTCAAATCCCTTTGGACTAAAAATAAGGTATTTTCCAGTTACTTGTATAGATTTGAGGGACCTATTTGCCTGTGAAAGATTTGGTGGAGGACTGGGTAATAATTATGTTACATGTACGGTAGATCCCGAAAACTTACTTAATAAATCCTTTCGATGGAGTTAAAATAGATCAGAACTACTGGTTAATTATTATAAAATTAAAAACAGATTAAAACATATGAAGAAAAACTAAGCTAATATTTTTCGCAACCTTTTTAATTTGTGAATCAAATGCTTTCATGAAGCTAATAGTACTTCGGCCCAAGATAAACGATTCCACAGACTCTACGCTTCGTTTTCTGTGAATTTTCTAGACCCTCTTATGAGATTAACTAAAACGTTAACTTATATTTTACTGACAGTTTTAAAATGATGCTCAATAAACCGATTGTTAATATCAGAATTGCAAATGCATAGTTCCGAAAACAGAATTTGATGCCTCGAAGTGATACATAACACTAAAAACAAGCTAAAATACTGAAAACGGATTTTTTATTTAATTGATTACGGCGTTTCTTCGTTTCAATGTATTACGAAAAATTGAAGAAATTACTGTGCCTTATATTTTCACGTTATTATAACGCAATACATTAAAAAAGTGATGTTTCCATTATATAGTTAAATAGTATTCAGTAGTTATCTCTTTTAAAATCTGACAGAACATTTCCTTTTTTTAAACTTATTTATTTATGCATGTTTATTGCTTTCTAGGTTCGTTCATCCTGCTTCTAATTTTTAAAAATACTTTATTGTAATATAATATAGCTTACTTCTTGTGTTTTAAATTTACCAGTAACAGTAATATAGTCTAATTTATTTAATGAACAGGATCTTTCATAACCGAGGGCGATATAGGCATAGGAACCATAATAGGATCCGCAGTATTTAATATGCTGGCAGTTACTGGACTTGTTGGACTTGTTTTATGGAACGAGGTTAGTTTTAAGCTTATTGAAGTTACAAATAAAATGAATTTTTTAAATAGCTTAGATATATATTAAGTTCCGCAAACATGTTTTAAATTTTCATTTAGTGTTGTACGATGAAAAAAATATTACGCATTGTAATTTATGACTTCATAAAAATCAAGTTAAAATCTATGATGAAACAGGTAACCTATCAAAGGCTCCTGTAATTTTGTCTTTTTTTTCCCTCTCTATATTCACTGTATTCCGAGATTCTGAATTATCTGGAATAATGCTGTTTCAGCTCCGATCACAATGTTTAATGCAGCGTGATATAAAAAGCATAGATAGCATGCAAGTGTGGATATTATTCCAAGAGTGTTCCTTGTGTTTTCAATGCTTATTAGTAGGAAAGAGAAAGATTTAACATTTGTTTTGACCACGAGTGAGCAAGAACTAACCTGGAAGCTCTCTCCCTTCCTCATTTTAATTCTTTATATTGTGAAGCTCAGTAAATCAAACTGATTTCAATTGTGTTTCTGAAGGTATGTGTGGTATTAAGCTATTTAGAATCATTGCCGTGTCATCAATATTGATCATCCATATTCATATTGTTACTTACTTGACTCAACGCAGATTGGTCATACAAGAGACATGCAAAAGAAATTATAACAATATGTTGTGAGACAAATTGATCATCCATATTCATATTGTTACTTACTTGACTCAACGCAGATTGGTCATACAAGAGACATGCAAAAGAAATTATAACAATATGTTGTGAGACAAATTGATCATCCATATTCATATTGTTACTTACTTGACTCAACAAACGTAGATTGGTCATACAAGAGACATGCAAAAGAAATTATAACAATATGTTGTGAGACAAAGTGAATATTATTATCAGAAACGGAAGTATGGGATTTGCTTTCAATTCAAATCCTAAAATCAGAAATTTGAGGCAATTTTTAAATCCTGTGATTGATTAGGAATATTCTTGGAAACATTATTTAATAAAGGTAGCAGCACTTAAATATGCTGTATCTTTAGCAGCATATTTTATAATAATTTACATCTTTAATTCTTTTTTAAGGTTTTGGATATTGACTGGTACCCAATAGCTAGGGACTGCATGGCATACTTTGTTACTGTATTGACTCTCATTTTCATTATTTCCGATAATATAGTTGCATGGTAAGTTTGTGATTTTTATTCTGATTTAAATAATATGAAATTTACTGATAATACAGAATTTCTCAGGGTCAGGTCCAGCGTTTAGGCGTTTTGCCGGTGCAATATTTATGTCTCCCAAATTCTGCCCAAAGGTGTCTTCCTGATTTCTAAAATTTTTCCGCCCGCAAAAAAAAAAAAAAAAAAAATATCTTTTATCGAAACTGTTGCACTTTTCATATTATTAAGAAAGTAATGCAATTTCCGTATAGGAAATGTTAGCCCAAAATTACAGCATTATGTTCGTAAATGATAAATTCTAATCATAACTCTATAAAATATGTACAATATGTTTTCATCGCTGTAATGATGATGTATAAAAGTGCACCTGTAACATGTCCCTGTGATAAATTTTATAGCAATTGTGAGTAATGCTATGAATACAATGTAATTTTGAAATTGTTTTAATATTTCTTCTGTTTTCCTTCAATTTTGCTGTTATTTATGCCATAACTTATATTAAATTGTGTATTAATAATGTTGTAAGGATCTTAAGTTTTACTAACGCTTATTTTATTTTAAAACTTTACTATCACATCTTATTTCCCACTGCCGCCCAGAAATAAATGCTTTAAACTGTTTATGCAAATTGCACTTGCTAACGCCCAAGTATTTAAGTTGTGGCTTTATGCCAAGAGAGAGAGACAGAGGGAAAGTGAGCCGCTTTGCCACTGTATTCCGCGCGAGTTTTCAATCAGTTGCTGCTTGCCTTTTAGGCCAGAGGTTTAGTCCTCTTGATATTTTAAAACGTATTGTATTTTCGGCAGTTTGCGTACTACATACGTAATAATTTAAAAGGCCAGTCTTAATGTTAGACATTTGTAAACTAATTTAAAGTTAGCTCTTATTTAGAATTTTAGTTAGTAGTTTTATATTTTTACGTTCAGACCACAAGTGTTTGGTCTCTGTATCCCGAAGTGTGGGAACACCTGTAATCGTATAGAGCAGTGGTCGGCAAAGTGCGGCTCCAGAGCCGCATGTGGCTGTTTGGCTGCTTAAGTGCGGCTCTCTGCTCCAAATATCCGCGGAAGGCGCAATAATTAATATTTTCATTTAAAAAAACTTGGTAAAAAATTTCATCTTATTTTGATAAATTAAAATTCTTCTATAAATCGAGAACATGTATAATTTTTTGTTTGAGTAAAAAGATAGATAGGTAATTAAAATTTTATATTGTTGTAAAAATACATAACGAACATCAAGTTTAATATTATTAGTTTTCGTAAACGTAAACATAAACCATGTGCAAGCTACCGGCATGCGTGTGCATGCTTTTTATAAAGTAGTCAAGGTTCTAAATGGCATCACAGAGCAGCAGTTGCAGTGTGAACAGTTATGTCTTATCTACCGTGTCTGCCGTTATCCTGTCTTATTAAAAAGTTGTATTTTTTAATCTAGCTGCACATCTTACAGGTATTTTCATACGATTTTATTACACCTGCTATGTATGTCTGTGGTTCCGGTACAAAATTTGTAATCGATTTCTCGATAACTTTTATTTGTCCAAATGTTGAACGTTTTCTTCCATTTTTGGTCATATTAAAGTTTGTATTCTGATGAAAAAACTATTTTTTCTTTAGTGCAGCTACATATATTATAAGATTGTTTTAAAAGATTTTTTAAATTTATTTTCATCAATTTAATAATATAATTTTGTACTGGTGGCTTAGAAAATACCGTATTTATGCGAATCTAATGCGCCATCGAATCTAATGCGCATCCCCATTTTAAAACTTTAAATAATAAAAAAAATGTTTGTCGGCGAATGTAATGCGCATCAATGATATGAGGAATTTATTGAATCTTATTTTATACAACAATGGATTTGTATATAAACTATCAATTAATGGTATGATAATTTTATTTAAATTTAGATACCATATTTTATACAACAATGGATTTATACATAAAGTAGCAGAACATAGAATTAACCTATTAGTGGGCTATTGTCATGTGAAACAATCATTGTTAATTAGCACTACCGTATATACGGTACCTATCGTAAAATATGAACATGAAATAAATCGTAACATTTCTATCTAGCTAACAGTTTCTACAATCAGTGATTAATAGTAAACGTCTTTATTCACTAATGTTTTCATCACTGGAATCCTCGCAGCTCTCTTCGTCAGAAGCAGATTCATTTCTTCTTTCCTCATCATCGTCATCGTCATCCTCGGCGTTCCAGAGCACGTCATCGTCACTGCCATTCAATGAATTTGAAATGCAGCATTTCTTGAAAGATTTCACAATCATTGGTGCTTCGATGCTTTTCCAGGCAGCAGAAACCCAGTGTGCAACAATGTGCGGTGCAGCACGCTTAATTTTTCCTGTCGGGGTCAATACACGGTTTGGCTCACAAAACCATTTTTCGTACTCCGCCTGAACGTACCCCTTAAAAGGTTTATTTATACTAACGTCCAGGGGTTGTAACACAGACGTCATCCCTCCAGGAATGATAACAAGATCACTGCCTAGGCTGTGCATCTTCTTTTTTACGTCGTCGGTGAGATGACCACGAAATGCGTCCAGACAAAGCATTGATGGTGGATTAGAGAGCCCACCGGGACGGCGTTTCCATACATTTCGGAGCCAATCAAGCATTAATGATTCCGTCATCCACCCCTTCTCTTGGTTTCGAATCAGGACATCATCTGGGAACAGCTTTTCATTCTTAGGGGTTTTAGGGCATGTTTTTCCGTTTGAAGATTAAGAAAGGGGGAAGTTTGCACCCGTCTGCTGTTATTGCCAGCATCACTGTTACGCGTTGTTTTTCACATCCCGAAGTTTTGATGATAACTTCCTTAGTCCCCTTCTCCGTAATGGTGTAGTTACGAGGCATATCAAACCAAATTGGCCGTCTCGTCAGCGTTGCCAATTTGCCCCATTGAAAAATTCTTTTCCTTCCGAAGTGTGATGACATACCGCTGAAATGTTAGTAGTTTTCCCTCAAAATCTGCAGGAAGCTTTTGGCATATTGTTGTACGGGCGTCTTAGAGATAAACCCATCCGCTTCATAAACCGATCCACCCATCCACGGCTAGCCTTAAACTCTTGTTTCGGTATTCCAAGAACTTCAGCCTCCTCTTTTGCTTTATTTCTTATGGTGTCACTAGTCACAGGTTGTCCATTCTTCCTCCTTTCACGTACAAATTCCAAAACTTTTTCTTCAATTTTAGGGTGTCTTCCTTTGCGAGGGCCAGTGAATTTCTTTCTACTAGCTTTAGTTGCAAACAGTGCCAATTTCTGTTGCCGCCACAAGCGAACATTGCTCTCAGCTACGTTGAACTCTCTCCCTGCCTTTCTATTGCCATTTTTTTCAGCATAAAGAATTACTTTACGTTTGAAAGTAGCGTCATATGACATTCTTCTCTGTTTGCCCTCCATTTCGTGACTACGTACTCTGCAGTTTGTATCCTCTATGCAATAATGTGTCAACGATAAATGTAACGGTAAATGTAGTCGAGAAATTTGGTTGACGTCATCGGCGAACTTTGCACTCGAATCTAATGCGCCATCGAATCTAATGCGCACCCCAATTTTGAATACTACATTTGGCCAAAAACGATGCGCATTAGATTCGCGTAAATACGGTATTTGGAATTTAGCCCAATGCAAAAAAAAAAAAAAATGAAAAGAAAAGCGCATTAGTGGGCCTTGTTATAAATTGACTTCTTATTTGTAGAAACGCGCATAAAAGTAAAAGAGAGACACTTTACAGAGCAGGTCATTTAGCACTAAATATCTACCGGTGATGCAAGGAAGAAAGCAGTTGAGGAACTTCAGAAGAGTCGTCAACTTCTGTGCTTAATAACTGGATGCAATCTTCCAGCAATATTAATATGGCAAGTTTTGTTTGTAGCCGAGAGATTGCTAAGCAAGGAAAACCGTACACAGACGGCGAAGACATAAAAAATAGTTTTAGAAATGCATCCAAAGAGCTATTTCGGGATTTTAAGAACAAAGCATTTTATTCTGAAAAGAATTAAAGAGTTACCACTGTCTGCCAAAACAATTAAAGATAGAACAATTAAAACGTGTTCGAATATAACCACCCCGCATATCGAAGATCTGAAATTGGTTTCGGCTTTATCAATAGCAGTTGACGAGTCTTGTGACATAAATGATACAGCGCGAGTTTCACTTTTTGTAAGATTTATGTCTCATTCAGGCCCTAAAGAAGAACTTTTAGGATTATTGTCACTCAAAGGTCAGACGCGTGGAGAAGATATCGCCAATGCTGTAATTGAGTGTATGGATAAACATCATATTCCCCTCGATAAAATTGTATCGATTTCAACAGATGGGGCCAAAAGTATGACCGGCGTAAGAAAAGAGGTTGTTGCTATTTTGAAAGAAAAAATTAATCACGAGATACTTGTTTACCATTGTATCATTCACCAAGAAGCGCTTTGTGCGCAAACATTTCCGGAAGAAATTTGTAAAGTTATGGAATTAGTGATTACCATTATCAACTCCATTTTAGCTAAAGTTCTTAATCATCGCCAACTCAAAGAATTTATTTTGAAATGGAGAGTTAGTACGCTGATCTTCTGCTTCATAACAAGGTACGTTGGTTATCAAGAGGGAACGTTTTAACGTTTCGCGCCCCTTTTTCCGGAAATCCTTTCCAAGGCGCATTTCTCCTTGAGAAGGGTGTTCACTATCCAGAACTAACAGACGATCAGTGGATCCAAAACTTTTATTTCATGGTAGACGTTAATGTTCATCTAAATCAGCTTAATCGTAAACTGCAAGGGAAAGAAAACTTAGTTTTTACGATGTTAGAAGAAGTAATAACATTCGAAAACAAATTACCCATTTTTACACAGGATTTTGAAAGAGAAACGTTGTTTCACTTTCCGAGCCTGCTGAAGCATCGCCAAGAAAATAATTTCTCTGTTGATAAACACCATTTTATAACAATAATTTTAAATATGAGGGAAGCATTTCTCAGCAGGTTTCAGGAATTTAAAAACAGCAGAGCAACTTTAGCATTTGTCAAAAATCCTCTTAATTCTACTACAATAACCAAGTTGAAATTTTCTCCTTTTGAAATTGACATTGGTAGCTTTGAAATACAATTGCTGGATTTAAAAAGCAAGGAGATATGGCGCTCTAAATTCGAACGTATTTGTGTTGAATTGGAAATATTGGAGAAGAAAAAAATGTTGATCTTAGTTCACAAGCACAAGTGGTCTGCTTTTGAAAACTTGGAGAAGGAAGACATGATCATTTTCAAACGCTTGAAATAGTATTCCTGACTTCTTACGATCAGCTGAAAAAGCTCGCGTTTGATGTTCTTTCCCTTTTCGGATTCTACATATATATGCGAACAATATTTTTCAAGCATGAACGTTATCAAGAGTAAGATTGAGAAGTCGTCTTATTGATGAGAACTTTGAATCATGCCTAAAATTAAAAACAACAAACATACAAACCTGACTTACACAAACTTTCCAAGGAGATTCAAGCACATTGTTCGCATTAACAAATATTTATTAAATATTAAATTTAGTTTTATTTAGTGTAATAAAAGTTTACTAAACAAGCAGATTTGGCTCCCAATTTGTTTTTTAATTGTTGTAATGTTCATATTTGGCTCTTTGGCTAATAAGTTTGCCGACCTCTGGTATAGAGAATAAAGGATAAAGTCAACCCTTCCTGCTTGTGTCGTCCATTCCACACATACTTGAACATAGCTTGAGTAAGCTTCCTGTTCCTATTCAGGACACGTAATGTTTCTGAAGCAGATAAAAAAACATACTAGTTCTGATAATGCTTCCCATAATTTCGTAATTAAAAGTATCTTTTTCGGGATAAACCACAATACAGTCAAAAGTCGTTAATTCGGACACCCATAATCCGGAATGATCTATAATCCGGACCTCAAAGCTACAAACTTTCTGCGCATGCGTCGCGTTGACGCATGCGCGTAAGACCTTTACGGCTGCGAATAGGCGTGTGCGCGTGCGCAAAATACGTATACGAATGCGCGTTTAATGTATAACGGACGGTATAAGCTAAGCTAAAATTATCTAATTCAGTTAATGTTGCAGATTGCGTTGTTCCTTAATCTTCGAATTGGATTCGGCTTATTATTTCTTGCAGACTGTTAGAGCAATTTTATAAAAGTAAGCTTGAACTTTCGATTATGTCAAATAGAATTTCTGATATATATTTACTAATATGTAAAGGATCTACAAAACAAAGGGAAAGTATGTTTCGGAAGTCCATTAAACAAAAAGTGGAATTGCTGCTGCAAAAAAATGGATAAAGGCATATCCTTTGTTTATCTAAACTTTAACGTTTTGTTTACCTAAACTTTGTTTATCTTTAACGCCGCGGGCGGCGCGCAATGAATTGGAAGTTGATCTGTCAACACTATCCTTATCTTCAGGGCAGATGTTTTTATTTTATTTGGCTTCATAATTGCTTACTAAATGTGGTATTTCATCTCGATGTACTCCGGTCTTTGATATGATTTAAATCAAATGCCTCGTCATTATAATTCGCTTCCGATAGCGAAGAAAGTGACACAGAGGTTATTGAAAACGAAAAAATTTCGATTGACAAATTAGTCGGTATTCTCGACACAGCAATTATAGGACTTGAACAGCGGAACTTTGTAACTGAACAAGAAATTATGTCTGTTTATGGAATTAAAGAGAATGTATTATCACATAAAAAACGAAGCAACTTAAACAACTTACATTGAAAGAAATGTTTAATAAAGTAAACAAATAAATATTAAGCTTTTTTTTTTTGTAAATTTTGATACCCTTTAGATCATAATTGTTCTTTATTTCATAAATTACGGTTTCATATTTTTAATTTTATAATTTCTGCATGCCGTCTTACCAGATTTAAACTGATGATCTATAATCCGGAAAAATCGATAATCCGGAATCGCAGAAGTCCCGACGAGTCCGGATTAACGACTTTTGACTGTATTACATTTTTCAACTGTTCACGTTTTACACTTAAGTCCTTGATTTTTGTTAAATCTTGTTTGTAGAAATTTTTTTTTTCATTATTTTGTATTTTTGTGTTAATTTCTTTCCATAATCCTCATGACATCTGTAATATGGCTCGTTACTCTGTAATTACACGAATTTCACTATTGTGACAATCACATTAAAAGTCTGCAAAAATGTTTTCCTAATATAGCATTTGATATAATAAACGCAAGTAACTCAAATCGTTTTACATTTGTACTCAATTCGTTTGTAAATGTTTCCCTCTTTCTCCTACTTACAACTTTTCTCTAAATTTTTCTCAATCGATGAAATGGCTCGTGTTTAATAAATCTCTTCCCTGGTGAGTCATTCCAACCCTCATGGTAGACAGAATGCCTCATTGGGAGTGCTATGCACGATATATATGTATATGCAAAATACAACTAATCGTCTTGCATGCTTAAGATTTCTGTTAAATTTATTTTAATTTAGGGTTTGAAATAAAGAAATAACTGATGCAACATTATTAAGAGTTTTCATTTTATAGTGTGCATGCGTTTAGCGTTAGCGAAAATTGTGGATATAGATGTATTTCCTTAACTTTCGATGGAAGAGTACAGGTTGACGTACAATAGTGATATATGAACACAGGGCTAGAGAAGGCGTCACATTACAATTAACGTAACTATATCAAGAAAATTTCCAATAACAAATATAGAAGTCGCAAAAACATGAATTTCACGAGAACCTGAGATTCTGCGAGATGGAGAAAAAAACGAGTTGCTAGAATGACGCATAAGAAAAGAAAATAACGGAGGTATCAGTTTCTAAACAGTGAAAAGACGGTAAAGTGAAAATAGCAGAATATGAGCAGAAAATGAAATAGAAATAACTCTAAAGATAAAGGAAGGTACTTGTGTCTTATACTAAGACACAAATGTTACAGGCTGTTGGTATATGAACCTTAATAATATCAAGAACAAATTTCATGTGGGCAACAACTAAGGTAAGACTGTCACAACACATACACAATCACTCTCTCCGCATCTTGCACCAGCGTCGGTAACAAATCTTGAGGAATGATGTCGGTCTAATAAATATAAGTATTCGCACTTTTTGTTCAATTAAGTGTAAATGTCTCATCGGTAATTTAATATAATCTATAACGTTTACTGCATGAATTTCGAAATTTCTGACAAAAAAAATCTGCCACGCTGCAGATTTCTCACTCTGTAACATATGTAAAAGCGGTAGAGAAACATATTCAATAATAATCGTAATTCAGTGATAACCAAGGATAGATTAAGATCATTTACAACACCTCACCTTGTATTCTATGCAATGGCATGAAGAACCTCTGCGATGACTGCAACATCTACTGAGAGATTAGCCAATTGCTTTCGGTTGCACGCCTTCGCATTTGCTGATTATATAGTGCGCAACTTGTTTTAAATATAGAACTGCTTTTGTAGTGTTGCAAATATTCTTGTAACACGTCTTTAAGTATTCATTGCATTACACTTTCGAAAGTCTTCTCTTTCTTTTCCATGCAATGCCTAATCAATACAGAAAAGAGAAAAATGCATGCTTTATCTGAAATGAGACTTTTGAAAGAAAAAATTGGAAGAGAAGAATGGAAGATGGAAGAATAGTAAATTTAGTCTGTAGTGGTGCAACCTCATATCAACGAAACTATACGGTTATTCGTTCTGTCGTCGGTATTGGCTTGCTCGTTCCTATTATTAAAAGACCAATATCTATTGCTATTTTTCGTTCCATGAACCATTTCTTGCCAACGCCATACTTCGTTTTCGTTCACGCAAAATTTCAGAAAACCATGAAATCCCGGTATTTGTACTGGAAGTGTTAATATGAAAAAATTGTATGACATTATATGAATATATTACATTTAATATGAAGAAAATTATGATAAAATAACTATATCATTATACAGTCCACCGAACTAACTACAACAGTCGCTGCTGCGAGCTGTTGAAATAACAATAACATTCATTTTATTTTTGGTTAAATATATTCCGTGCATAAATCTAATCTTTTTTTACAAACATAAGCTGGTAGTTCAGCTGATTTTGAAAATAAAGGAAAGATATATGTTATAATCCGCACCTCAGAGTAAAATAATTTAAATAATACATTTGTACATACATACTTGGAGTGTTTTTTATTGTTATGCACTTATACGTACATATTTTTTTTACGTGCACACTTGTAAATAAATATGAGGAAATATCCTATTTTAAATGCCATTAATTAAGTAAGAAATACTAATCAATGGAAAAACTAAATAAAGCTAAGCGATATTAATGCGTTATTTCTGTGTCATCATAATGCTTTTAAGACCAGAATTCTAAATAAGTCTTTTTTACATAAAATTATTATTATTTCTTTTCCAGGTGGGAATCCCTTGTTTTGCTGGCTGTTTTCTTTATTTACATAGCTGTGTTGAGTTACAACAGAAAAGTCGAAAATTGCTCAAGGCAGTTGGTATGATAATTTCTTTTCAGTGTTTCAAAATTCTGAACAAAGAACAAAATCAAAATTCCGTTCATTAAGTTTTTCTTTATTAGGTAAAATACATTTCTCAGAAACGATGTTTTTGTTGCTATTGTGAAGAGGAGGAAAGAACGCCACTACTCAGACAAAGCCCATCTGCTCCAGAAATTGTTCAGACGTCATCACAAATTAGACAAGAAAGGGATAGTTTCAGTGTCGAATTCACAGAAAGCAGCAAAAAGGATTTTCTCCAGAAACAATTAATTGCAATAAAAATTGGTAAGATATGCTCTTTGTACAAATTAACAAAAGATGCATGACAGATTAAAAATTTATGTGTGATATTAATAAATAAATAAAAACGTTCCATAAAATGCTAGCGTTAGTTCCATTAACTACAATAAAATTCCACTCGAGCGAATATGTAATGAAATAAAACACTGAATAAGTGAGTTCGCAAACCAGTTACTTCCAATTTTTTCTCAGCGTTTCATTTCTAGAGATAAATATATATTTTGCGATGAAAGCAAGTGATCCCAGTATATTATATTCATAACTAATGAAGTATAATTATAAGTGCATCAAACATTTCAATAGATTACTTAAAAAAATTGCAGAACTCTCAAATGAATTTCTGTCTTCCTATTAAGACTTTTGGCAATTAGAACTTTAAATAGTGTTATAAATTTTTGCAAATACTTATATTTATTCGTTCATAATTTTGTTTTGTATTTTTGAATTGTTACATGTTTTTTTATACACCTAATTCCCCTCTTACACGATATCAAAATAAATATTTCATTCTCTTTTTACGCGTGCCATGTTTATCTAACACGAGTGGACCGAATTTTCCAACATCATTCAATAGCACACACAATCGATGGATAAGATTTCTATTATCTATCATTTGAAGATAGTAGTGAATTATTAGTCGACAAAGCCCTAAGCAGAGAAGGGAATATTAGCGGTTGGCCTTGATAGTTCTAATTCCGCAGAACGTAGCGATGGTGAAGAAATGATCCAGTTTCAAATGCAGATTTAGTAAAAGGTCTGGAACTGTCTTTAAATTTGGGTATTCATTTTGTCAAAGAATACCCTAATGAGAAATTTCAACGTGAACAGTGTTAACAGCATCTTACAGAGAATTATATTACAGCCTAACGAAAACACGAACACAAAGATTACTAACTGAATTCCTTCAAGAGCTCACAGAAAGAATCTCATTAATAGAGGAAGAAGACGATGTCCCCAACATTTATGGTGATAGCAGTGATATTCCAGGTTCACGCAAACGTATGCGCTCCTTATTGTCAAAAAGTGAAAATGACTAAAACCTGTTATGTATAAAACAAGCTTTTTTTCGGGGGTTCATTAACAATATTTTTCATTGCAAATGCAAATTTACTTTAATATACTTTCATTACAAGTTATTACATGTGTATTTTGTTGAAAAATTAAAAGCTTAAAAATAATATTTATAGATTTTTATTTTTCATTATATTTGCCGAATTTTTAGATCTGGAGCTAGTTTTCTGTACTTCCATGGATGCAATATTTTTTTACAGGTATTTTTACGAGTATTCTTCAGAAACATATCTCAAGTCTAAAAACATAATCAAATGAATATTTATAATAATTTTGTTTATTTATTGCGTATATTATTTAATTTTGAATTTGTAATTATCCCTTGGGTTTGTATGTGTATATTTCGTGCATTATGCTGTATATCTATTTTAATTCTGAATCGATTAACTATTGAATTATAAGAATAGCTCAAGTAGCATTTTCGAAGTTCTAGAAGAAATCTTTTTTTAACTTTCCAAAAGTCTAAATCTCTTCTCCCATGAGCAATAGCAAACTGTTAGCCGCCGTCAGTCGGGCAGTATAATACTAGTTGGATTGAGACTTTTCGTCTATTTTACACTCTTAAGTTTTCTACTAAGTAATTAATGCTTTAAACATTGCTCTTTTAGCACTTTTAATAATCTACGCTAGTATTCGCGTGTTAAGGAGAGTTTCGCCTTACCTCTATCTTTTTTTTTCCCGTTAATCTATTTCTTAATTAGAAGAACAGCTATTTATTTAATTAAATTAAATTCTTTTTAATTATTTCAGAGTATCTCAACGAACCTATAGCATGTAAGTAACATTGATAGCACACTGATAGTAACAATGATAATACTCTAGAAGAGACATCAAAATTGGTAACTTATGTTGAAGTTTCTTACACGAAATGCGAAATATTTTGTAATAGTATCGTGAATTCAAAAACGAAAGGAACTGGTTTATTACTAATAGTTCTCTTACATCTCGTAAAAAAGAGATGAATTGACGAAGACTGATATGCTCATGAAATTCTGACTTTCCATAAATAGCTGCTATTCCACAAATAACTGCTATATGTATTGCAACAAAAAAATCTAAACTAGATGGCTGACTATTTTGAATCAAATGCAAGTATTTAAAAATCTTGAAACACATATAATTTTATTTTCTAAGCATTTATTTTTACTTTTAATAGCGGAAAATAGTTGCAATGATTTATTGGGTAAGTAAAGTGTTACCCAAAATAACTCTTTCTTAATTAACTTGGACAAATGAATTTTTAGCGTACTCTTAATAGTCTAAAATTCCAATGAATAGTCTAAAATTCGTAATGCGTAGCGCAATGTGAGAAATAATTGTGAATTGGATTGTATTATGAAATTATCGCAAAGCACTCGAGGACTATTTGCTTAAGGGAAGGGATTCGTTCGTGAAGTGCTTTTGAAGAGAAATTGTCTCTAGTCGACGTTACACGTGGATAAAACCACAAAATTTCCCATGAGCTATCGTTCCCTGGGATTTAAAAACAAGTTGAATTCAACGCTACTACTGATGAGAAATATTTGTGCAAAATGTTAGCATAATAAATTCTCGATGTAACGAACTCGCTTGATCTGCGGGGGGTGTAAAATAAAATATTCATAAGTGAGAACAGCATTACAAAAACACAAATCTTTCAAAGCGATAGTTTGTAAAAACGTACACTGGAGGTTCCCAAGTCGAGTGTAATTCGTTCAAAATTCCTTTAATTAAAGCCGCTGGTATTTTTCTTACAGGAAAAAGGCCACCAGCGGCCGAGCGGTAAAGTCGGTGAACAGTGATAGTTCGTTCTGCAGTTCGAATCCCAGCGAATGGGCTGGCTGCATGAACGCTTTCGTGGTTTAAACCCGTTTCCCTTAGAAAGTCCTCCACAAAAGCATCCCTTCCCTTAGGCAGATAGCTCTCGTGTAATTTGCCATAATCAACTAAACCAAACCAAATCTTTATTACAGAAAAAGTTATTCTTGGCGAAGAAGATGTTACAGATGGAACATTATGCTCTTCTCCAAATGGTGGATTCTGGAGTTTAGCTTGGTGGTTTCTAATGTATCCAGCAAATCTCTTGTTCTTTTTGACTATTCCTAACTGCAGTTTCAATAAACTTTACCCCATCACTTTTCTAATGTCAGTACTGTGGATAAGCGTTCTCTCATACTTAGCGGTTTGGATGGTAACAATAATTGGTGAGAAAGTTTCTATTTCATTTGCAACATGCTCAACATACTTTTGACTAAAATTCTAACACATAACATATCTAATCAAATTCAGGTTACACGTTTTCCGTTCCTGATTCAGTTTCCGGTCTCACAATACTGGCTGCTGGTACAAGTGTTCCTGAAGTAATCTCAAGCATCATCGTTGCTCGTGGAGGTAAGTTACTTTTATAAGAAGCATCCATGCAGAATTAAATTGCTTTACTTGTAAACTAACCAAGTATTATAGATTATTCTTAACCTAGTATTATAGATGGGATTACAAAAAATATGCATTCGAAATTAAATTGTTTTATATAAAAACTAACCAAGGCCACTTTACAAGGGGCAAATGATTGACATACTTAGAGTGCATATATATTATTTGTTGCTTAAAATAATAACTCTTACTGCCTCGAATACATCGAGGTTGTTTGCGATTAACCGTATTTTCTTTATCCTGAAGGGATTAGAGCATTAAGTTAATTTTTCCCTATCTAAAGACTGATGACACATTTAAGTTGATTAATCATAATTTTGTGGCACAGTGATTTGAAATTGTTATAAGGATTAATAATTTGGATATATATTTTTTTTTAATTGCAATAGTTCACGTGTCAAAAATACTCATTTTTAAATTAACGAAAAAATAATTTAAAAATAATTTTTAAACCAACGAAAAAATAACGATATAACTCCTTCGATGAATCCATCAGTACATATTATTAAGTGATAGGCATCTTTGGAAGCTTCTAAAGCTGTTTGCATCCTCAGAGCGGCATTTTTTTTTTTTTTTTTTTTTTTTTTTTTTTTTTTTTTTTTTTTTTTAAATATGCGCTTTTTAAGTATAGTCTAATAGTTGTAACGTATGGAACTGTATTTTACAAGAAACGAAATGGGGATTTTCATATATGGTTTTTTAAAGAATTTACTGTAACTGTAAGAATTCTAGCAAAACTTTGAAAATATCGCGCATATTTGGCCACAAAAGGGCTTTGGATGAACATAACCAGCATTAGTTCGCAGATATCATTTTGAGTAATAGGGATACAACACTGGCTCGAATAATATCGCAATTTAGTAGACATCAGCATGAGAGCTGTGGAACTCCATTATATGGGCTTTAGGAGTTAACACCTTATAAGAGCACTTTTGATAAATGCATGATACATGCCGCTCATCTGGGGTTAGGAATTTGGACACTGGACATTTGATGACTGAAAAAGAGTTTGGATATGGAAGGATTTAAATTTTTTTTTTTTTTTAATCTTATGATTTCACGTGTCCTACAAGTTAGCAAGATACAGTTTGTGGTGGCTCTATAATGGTATAGAATTTCTTACTGGCATTCAGGGAGTCCATATAACAAATATAAACGTTTCTGGCGGGTGAACCTCTTTCTGATGAGTTACACCCATTCATGCTCAACATTCATGAACATGGGTTTAATCTGTTCTAACAGAACATTGTTCATACAGACATATCTAGATATCAAAATTATGATGTCTTGCAATGATCACCCAAGCCATTGCACCTTAAAGTTATCGGCCATTTCTGGGATGTCATGCAACGCATCGTGCACACAGAAATTCTATACATCTGAATTTAATAAAGTTATGGACTTCTTTACAGGAAGAATGATGTTCACTGTTTACAAAATACTCCTGCATGTTTGCAGAGCCGATGTTTCTGAAGATCTATGCTCTCGTGAAGGCCCACTAAATACTTGACAGATGCGCCAGAATTCTGGCGTTTAGTCTATATTTTTTTTTTTTTTTTTTTTTTTTTTTTTTTTTTTTTTTGCCAGATAAAGCATGTGAGCATGAGTATCCTATGTTGCAAAACCTCTTGCAAGTTTATTCCAGTGGTTCTCAACATGTATTGCTCATAGCCCTCCTCCAAAAAAGATAAAATTAATAAAACTTGAATGAAATAAATTTCCATTTTAATTACTAAACTTCAACAATAAAAAATTTAAGTAATGACTGAATATGTATTTGAATCGAACTAATAACGAAAAGGCTTGATTTATTAAACTACAGAAATTTTTTTATGTGCGGTCAGATTTTGATTATATTCCACGAGTATCACTGGTAAATAAATATTATAGAGCTATTATGATCAATTTAAAAAATTTTAACATATATAATGTCACGCATGTGCATTGCGCCAGTTATTTACATATCTCTACAGTTTATAGTTTACATTCCTTCGTTATCCATCTTTGCATTCCATTGCTATCCAAATTTAAAAATAAAAACCTTGGGGGGGGGACTTTTTATGTCCACTGACAGTAATTTTGAGAAAAATGAATTTTTAGGTTGTCTAACTTCAGTGATAAAGAAATATTGTTATAAAATAAGTAAATAAATTTTCAGTATTTATTTAGAAAACAATATTTCAGATGTCCTGTTTTGCACCCGCTAAGTCTTTCTACCCGTAGAGCGAAAAATCAAGCTTACGTGCAAAAGGAACGCAAATAAAAAGAGCAATTTGATGTGAGATTAAAAAGAAATTCGTAAGAAATGATACGAATTTTTATTTATAAAGTGAAAGAAAAAAAAAGTGATTTGACTCTTTTTTTTTTTTTTAATAATAAAATCTCAAAGCTTTCAGATTAAGCCCAAAGGGGCGTTCTTTCATTGGCACATAGACACACGTTTCGAGATCATTTTACTAAAAACATTTAAATACAGCATATCTTTCGAATTTCCGATACACATTCTCCTTCACTAGAATAAAAATGCTTTATTCCGTACAGGGTTGCCACTGCTCGCTTTGAAATCGTTGAGTTTTTAATCAAAAATTCGTTAAAGGTTTTACAAAATACGAAATAAATAGTAAAACAAATTCGAAATTCAAAATTCGGATTTCCAATGTCCATATTCAAGTGCAGGATTACGTTATTGAGAATTTGATGGCTCTAGGTACCTTTTTTTTTTTTTTTTTTTTTTTCGCAATGCGAGAAATATACATACATTCATGCAGTTCTTCATTATTTAATTTCTTTAAATATAATATAGGTCGGTAATATTTGGTGGAAACAATCTGAAAAGTGATTCAACACTTTCAGTGATTCGAAGCAAAATGGCGTTTCAAGTCTAATAGCCCTTCTAGGTTAACGACACTTTGAGCTAATAAAGACTCAGCCTATGCATAAAAGTAATTATGGGCATAAATTAGATGGAGACGATGGAAGAGAAGTGTGAAATAACCTAGCAATCAAAGTATGCTAATGTGCAAGTGTACAGTGTGCCAAAAATTAAAGAAGTTTGCGTGTCTATAATCAACTAGAAACAAAGACTCCTAATTGTATTGTTGTAAATTGGTGACTGAGCTATTGAATATAGTTTAACGAAAAGGCTAAAGAAAGGCCATAATTTTAAATGAAAAAGATTTAAGAATATGGATTGCTCGTTCCAGAAGTTGAGCACAGCTGAACATTTGTTTTTTTATCAGAAAAAAGATAAAAACCTATGATCAGAAGTGCTGGGCTAAAATTTTCTAAGTGTATATCAGCTAGTTAAAAGCGCCAGCAAAACCAAAAAAGGGGTCTGTAAGGAGCCAAATTAAATTAAATTATATTAATAAAGCCAAAATGTAGTTAGTTATATAAATAAGAAGTTTTAAATTCAAGCTAATTTGTTAATTGTAATGAAAGAGTAATAAATGAAAAAAGAAAGTAAAAAAGAATAAAGAAAAACCTAAATAAAAATTTTAAATTAGAAAAAATAAAGGCTGACGAAATGCAAAATTTTAACTACTTTGAATGCTGTAGAAGAATGATAAATAGCTTAAATAAAAGGATATCTATTAAAATAAATTTCTGACAGAAAATTAGCATAAAAATTATTAAATACATTAATTTACGACAGATATTTACTCCCAGGCATTATTTAAGGAATTTAGTGGAATAAACGAGTCACGAGAAAAGAGACTAAGTGCTAACAAGCAATGATTTCAATATACAATGGCTGCATCCTATGGAAATCAATATGAAACAGAAGAGGTTCAAATGACACCATATGAAAGAGATGTCAAACTCATAGGTACACTTGGGCCAAACAAACAAGGTTTAACTTTAGGTGGGCCGCAAAATAAATAAATAAATATTCATACAAACGTAGATTTATTTCGAATAATACAATAATAAACATATCTATTTATATAGAAAAGAACAAGAAAAATTTAATGTTTACGTCCTGATAACTTGACATCATCTATTTCGGGAGAAATTTTGTTTGCAGTGAAAACTTTCAACGCTGACCCAAGGTGAGCATCATTAATACGGTTTCTAATAGGAGACTTATTACCTTTCATGACTGAAAATAACACCAATAAGTGCTACCAAGCATGGAAATAATTTCATATGCGAATTTTCGAGTATTTTCAAACCTGGCTGGTAAATATTTGTAAAATTCAGGCACGCCCACTTCAATGAATTTTGCTTTTAAATTTAAGTTGCATTGAATCTCGATCACCTCCATTTGCATATGGCTGGGTACTGAGTCAATACTTACTGAGAAAATCGAAGAAAACAAAAAAAGTTTGTCTTCGAGGGAACTAAAATCATTAAACCTCGTTTCAAATTCAGTTGTTAAATTTGCAATTTTTTCTCCGTATTTTTGATACGAACAAGTATAATCTAAACTTGATTTGTTCATGCTGCACGTAAGTGCGTCAAATCTTCATTTTTAAGTTGTTTTTCCCAAAGAACTAGTTGACATTTGAATGCTTTAATTATGTCAAACATGTTCGTAATGATATGATCTATTCCTTGTAACGATAAATTTAAATCGGTTAAGTGTTTGGTTATATCAACCAAGAAAGATAAATCTTGTATCCATATTGGATCGTAAAACAAACTTACGTCTTGATTTTTCGTTTTTAAAAACTGACATATTTCTTCTTTCAAATCCCAGAATTTTTTGAGAATCTTGGAGCAAGATAACCAACGTACCTCGGTATAGTAGGACAAACCCGAATATTCACTATCTAACTCACTTAAGAAAGCAGTGAATTGACGCTGATTTAAATCTCGAGATCTTATAAAATTTATAACTTTTTTTATATATGACAAAACATTCTCCATATTTATTACTTTCGTGCATAGAACTTCTTGATGTATAATACAATGCATATGATGAATGTTTGAACCGTGAATTTCATGAAGTTTTTTTCTCAGTAATGCTACGAAGCCCTTGTTTTTCCCGGTGATTGATGGAGCGCAATCTGTAGCTACAGAATTTAATTTTGCCAAAGGTAGATTGTATTTCTGCAGAAGTTCAAAAACACAAGTAAATATATCTTCTCCTGTGGTAGTACCAGGCATCGGTATTAGTTCCAGTAATTCCTAAAAAATGTTAAAATTCTTGTCACAAGAACGAAAAAACACTGCTAATTGAGCTTTGCCACTAATGTCCGTGCTCTCGTCACAGGCAATGGAGAAACTTTCGAAACTAGATGATTTGCTTTGATCTGATCACTTAAATTTGCGGCTAAATCAGTAACTCTTTCCGCAACTGTATTTCGAGACAATGAAATTGATTGAAAAGCCTTCACATTTCCAGGACAAACAATTTCTCCAGCTTTCATTAGGCATTCCTTGATGAAATCACCGTCAGTAAAAGGCTTCGAATGTTTAGCTATCAACTCGGACAAGACGTAGCTTGCATGTACCGCCGCTTCACTTTCTTGCAATACTTTACTAAACATGGACTGTTGCTTTTTCACTCCTAACTTGAGCTCTTTCAACTTTTCTTCTCTCATTAATACTTCGTAATTGTTATATTTCGATTTGTGTTGTTCGTAATGACGTTTAATATTATATAACTTTGGTACATTAATAGTACATATCAAGCAGATTATTTTATCTTTTATTTCACAGCAAAAATATTCTAATTCCCATTTTACTTGGAATATTCTATGTTCGTCAGCGATTTTTCGTTTAATTTTACTACCACTTGGTTTTGATATAGACATACTGAATACAAAGGGCTGGAATAAACACGGTTAACGTTAAAAAGTTAACAAAAATTTATTCTTTCCAAAAAGAGATAAATCAAAATGCTGAAATAGTTCTTCAAAAATATTCTAACAATATCACAAAATGTCAAACGTTTAGCAAAAATCAATTCAAAACAGAGAAACTAATTCTATGTCACAGCGAAATCACTACAAATCAATCACAGCATTAAGTAAACAAACAGTTCGCTAGAACTACAGCTACTACTGAGATGAGTTGTTTGTTCTCGGCTTTTATAAGCTTTATAATTAATTTCTCGAATATACTGGAAACATCTATAAATATCTGGATTTTTGTGGATGGCAACAGCAATTACGAGATATTTATTTATTAGGTAAATGCACGCGCTGTTCTATTTTTAACCTTCCAACGCAGCTGTCTTTTCAAAAATCGTCTGCGTTGCTAAGGCAACATGAAGCAAATCTAATTACAATTCTAAATAAAAAAACTAACTAAATAAATAACTATGAAATCCGTAACAATATGAATTAAGTAATAATTAATAATAAAGCAAAGTGCATGCATGTGCAATATATCGTACAAAACTATGATTGGAAAACTGAGACCATGAGTTCGGCCACATTCGGCTATCGGGGGATACGTACAAGTTCTGAGTGCACGTGTCCCCCAAAAGCCGAAGGTAGCTGAACGCAAGCTACTCACACGCATTTGCAATTTAAGTAGTGTGTGTGTCGGCTCGCTGTGAGTAATGTAACACTGAATAAATTATCGTTAATTACTTAGCAGTAAACATTTCATTTTTTTCTTCGTCGATATGTTATTTTATTATTATATATTATTATTTGCCGATATGTTGGCCGGGCCGCAAAAATATTTGTTGTGGGCCGCGAGTTTGACATCCTTGCCATATGCCAAGATAAAGCCAAAAAGGTAAATCCATAAGTCAAATCAATACTAGCCATTTATGCGAACATTGCTACTTATATTTCAATTAAAGCGTAAAAAGAGATAATTAAAAGAGAGCGAGAGAGTGAAGAAAAAAGAAATAACAGCAAGTGTGGAAACAGGTCGACACATAATCAGTAATATGCGTGACATACAGCTATTAATTTAATAAGAAAGATCAACCTTTTGGTCCCGGTGTGCAAAATATTTCCTTGGTCACAGTTACAGATATAAATACTTTTTTCTCCTTAAGAGATTCATAATGTAGAAGCTATTTCTGTTGCCCGCTAGATAATATTATTATTTCAATTTCACAAAAAATGTACATATTTAGTTTTTCCTCGGGTCTTCAAATGTTAAGTTTAAATACCAAATTTATCTATAGTTATATTATTTTATGAAATGAACAAACGAAAAAATTATTGGTAGTATTTAATTATATATGTGTTTCTTAGAATCAGTCATTTGATAAAAGATGAAAAGATGTATTCCAGAAATTAAAAGCGAGGTAATTGCAAGGCTTTGTTAATTAAAGTTGAAATTTAAGGTATCATTAGCAAATTAACTATAAAAAAGTTAAATGCTAGTTAATGTCGCTTAGGAAACTTAGCTAGTATAGCAGAATTAAAGAAGGAAAATTCGCAAAGAACAACACGCTAATTACTGCAAAATTACTTCTTTTTCCAAAACACCTTCATATAAAATATAAAAGAATTTAGTTTTTAAGTCTCAATGCAAAGCTTTGTTCTGAATAGCATGTATTCATACATATGGGAAAAGTAAGATATTGAAAATCATGCCATTTTCTTCAAAAATGAATTGTCAGAAGTTACTAAATCCATGTAACAAACAGACTTATCAACGGATGGGGGAAATGTGAATGTTTAATATTTACAGAAAACAATAATTTTGATTTCTTAAAATTTTGTCTAAATAAGCCAGGCAAAAGGAAATTTGACGCCATTAAGAGAGCTATGAAAATCATTTAAGTGATTAGCCTTGCTAGCTACCATATCAGGCTCGAACTACGAAGAAGGCTTGTATGTTTCTAGTGCGTCCGTAACACTTAGCTGACAAGACACTTAAACGATAGGTGTTAGCCGACACGGACATTTAGCCGACAGGACATTCAGCAAACAAGGACATATACTATGTAAATTGAAAAAAAAAAAACTGTGTATAGCAGTTAAAAGGGTTTATAAGTTACCGACATTCTGCAAAATTCATGTACTGTATACAACGCCATAATTGTACAGAATATTTAACCATTTTACCAGAGGCGTAGCTAGGGTTTTCAGCTTTCGGGGACAACTGAAGATTTTGCACTCCTTTCTCTGTGCCAAGAACGGAAAACATTTTATTCTAAAATTTCGTAACATCAATTTGGCGCACCCAGAACGCTGCGCCCAGGAACAGATGTTTCCCCTTGCCCCACCCTAGCTACGCCACTGCATTTTACACAATGTTTTTCACTTTGCATAGTAACACACACATGGAATGAAAATATATGATGAATTTTTTTTAACTTTCTAGGTCTTGGGAACATGGCAATAAGTAATTTAGTTGGAAGCAACACATTTGATATATCTTTTTGCCTTGGAGCTCCTTGGCTTGTTAAGACACTAATTTCCGAGAACAAATTTTTGTTGGTATATAGCTCGGCATTAACTTACACCACTGCCACTTTGTTGATTTCTCTCGTTGCCTTTGTTGCTGCATTTCACCTGTCGGGATGGAAGATAAACCGAATAGTAGGACTAATATGTCTGCTTATCTATGCTATATTTGTAGTTTTGGCCTGCATGTATGAATTAAATGTATTTGGTCGTATAAATAAACCAACTTGTAATTAGGCAATACTTGAAAAAGTTTGAAAGTGTAAATAAATAAATATTTTTATGAAACATTTTTTCTCTAGTCTCATATCATGCATTGCATTTACACTGATGAAACAGACTTAAATTTATTCATGTAAATTAAATATTCATATTATGCAAAAATATAATAGCTGGTAAACTAAATATTCATATTATGCAAAAATGTAATAGCTGATGAACAGCCAAAAATTTAAAACCAGCTCATTGACAAAGAATGGATTTTTATAATCATAAACAATTATGTCAAAATTAAATCAAAAATTATTATTATCTTTTTTACATAATCATCCCTCACTTTAAATAATTCACTCACTTCATTTAACTTATTAAAATGACACATGATTTACGCACAAATTTCTTTTTATGTTACGTTTTTTATTTTCTATTTTAAATATATTATAAAATTATTTTCTATAATAGTTTAGACATTTTTTCTTCCTAAGAAGAGTATGACTGCATATTTGATGAAGCAATGAGAATTTCTTTAGAAGGAAATTATTTGTAATTACAGATCATAATTTCACTTTTCAAACATTTTACCCTTGAAAGTAGCAAAGCTTATGGATTGGATTATTTAATTTGGGTAAAGCAAACAAAAACGATATGTTTTAAGTTGAATTCTAGTTTTAAGCATAAGCCTTCCAAAGGATGACATCGCTTTTCATCTAATTTCTAAATATTATATTAATAGTGAAATTTCTAACTATTTTGAATGGACATTAGATAAAGAATGAAATCTAATAGCATCAATGAATTTTTGTTGTAACATACAGATTGCATAATACATATGTTGAAATTTTAAACCTGACATAGATGATGGGGAAACACAGCCTGCCCAGATGATTTTATTTATGGCATAACATTACTGACCTAAGCACAGGGGTATCTAAACTACCCATCATTCCATAATTACAAATATACACTGGGGAAAAGAAGCACAGTTCTATTCTCCCGTTCCACTGAGCCAATTTACGAAATCCAAATTGCGATTTTCATGCCTCGAAAGCGCGAGTTAAAATATATATTAGATTTATTTATAGCATCATTCTAACATTTTACACAAAATAAAATCGGCCTTTTCTGAAATGGCATGCCGATTTTTTTCCCATATTTCGGTTCTACGACTCAAATTATGCCTAACTATTAAATTTTGTAAAATTTGGTGAGAAATTTACAGAGAAATTAAAAAATTAATTTTGGCGTATTTTTCTCTGTTTTCACTGAGAATAATTTACTTGGTGAACTTCTTAACTTACAGCAACCGATTTTCCTTTTCTTTTTACTTCCTTGTACGAAGTAAAAAGGAAGTATCGCAAAACATTTCAGGCAGCATATTTCAACGAAAATATCCATTTTAACTGCTATCGAATGCAATTTAACGATGTTTTTGCGCGACATCTTTACGTTAAGGCAGAATTAAAGACTCTTTTCCTCCAAAAAAATTATAAAACTGCTTTAAAATGAATTCTGAAGAGAATTTTTCGTGGCGTCTGTACGAATGTATGTATGTATGTATCTCGCATAACTGAAAAACGATAGCCTCAGAATGTTGAAGTTTTGCATATAGGACTGCTATAACATGTAGATGTGCACCTCATATTTTGGTTGCAATCGGATGCACCAAACATAATGAACATATTTATATATATATCCACTCTGTTATCCGGCTCAGTGATCTCAGTTTCGTCGGGACTTCGGAATTATAGATCATCAATTTTAATCTGGTAAGTCAGTTAAAAAAATGCATCACTATCGATAGAATTTCAATATTTATGTTTGTCAGTTCTGTAGCATGAAAATAGATGTTAAATATAATAATTTTCGATTATGTCAAAAAGAATTTCTGATTCTTAATCTGCCAAAGGATTTACAAAGCAAAAGAATGTTTCGATGTACCTCTTCTGATAGTGAAGAAAATGACAGAGAGGTTATTGAAAATGAAAAAATTTCGATTTACAAGTTAGTCAGTATTCTCGACACAGCAATTACAGGACTTGAACAGCGGAACTGAACAAGAAATACTGTCTGTTTATAGAATTAAAGAGAAAAGTATTAGCACAAAAAACGAAGCAACTTACATTGAAAGAAATGTTTAATAAAGTAAACAAATAAATATTAAGATTTTTTTTTGGTAAATTTTGATACCCTTTAGATCATAATTGCTCTTTATTTCATAAATTACGGTTTCATATTTTTAATTTTATAATTTGTGCATGCCACCTTACCAGATTTAAACTGATGGTCTATAATCCGGAATCGCCGAAGTCCCGACGAGTCTGGAATAAAGACTTTTGACTGTAATGCTCTTATGATCAGAGTTGGATGAAATATTAAACAGGCTATTTCTTTTCAAATCAGGTCAGCAAATCTGATGTTACTGTCAACAGTTGGAAGAATATACAGTACAAAGTCTTTAATCCGGACCCGTCGGGACTTCGGCGATTATGATGCCATCTTATGAGATTTAAACTGATGATCTATAATCCGGAAAAATCGATAATCCAGAATCGTCGAAGTCCCGACGAGTCCGGATTAACGACTTTTGACTGTACAAAGTGATAAATATCTCCACATTGTGATTTATTTCAAAAATTAAATCTAATTTTAAAGGAATTTACCAGGGGAAATAATAAAAAAAAATTGAGATAATTTCTTTATCATTGAAAAATATGTTAACATATTTAAAAAATTTTAATCTCTTCTTGCATTTTTTTTCTGAACATTGCTGTAATTTTTTTGTTTCTTTATTTACAATTTGGATTTCATGTACTCCTGTATCGCGTGTATTGTTTTTATTTACATTTTTATTTCAGTGTGTTCAGTGTGTTTTGCATAATAATTTTGTTATTTAATGTGTATTTAATCTTGTATTGGTCTGTCACTTTCTCTGTTTATTTTATATACCATGCTGTACACCATTTATCTTAAAAGTTCATTTGAATCCATCATCAAATGTTTGAATTGCATGGTTAGCTCAAGTAGAACCAGAGGTAATTGTGAGAATCCTCCTATTAAGCCTTTTGTTAATATATGGCAATTTTTTGAAAACTTAACAAAATTCTGGAATTTTTTGGTAAAAAAACATTTTCTAAGCCCTAGAAGCAAGTTTTCTTGAAATGAAAACTGCTTATCTCACCCCCCCCCTTGGGCAAACCTTTAAACAGAAAGCTTTTAAGTAGGTGTCAATCAGTCAGTCAAGTTCAAAAACTCTGTGATTACTGCTTTGAACTTAGGTTCAAAAGTGATTCTGATGATCTATCCTTGCATGTTAAGAAAAATTTCACCCTCTTTCTGTCAAAACCTCCTTAGATTATTACAGCTCTTTATCACACTGAGTGAGTTATTAATTATCTCAAAGATTCAAAGTGTTCTTGTTCATTTAGCTTAGCGATTTAAAGAAATCTAAAAACCTTGTAGTGACAGCAATATTAACTTAAATGTTGCAAACGAGTTATGTAGTTTAAAAATCCTTAAAATTGTTGTTCATACTTTTAAAACAAAATTATTTGTTTATTAACATATTAAGTATCATGTGTATCATTAGTGACTAGCATTATACTTTTATTTAACATCATGTCAGTTACCTGTGAGTGACAGTGTACTTTCCATTCAAACTGCTTCAATCATTGTTAACTGACAGTATACTTTCTGTTCAGACAACATCAAAAAATTATATTGTTCTATCAAATCCTACACTGATCCCCAGCTGCTGGTATATTGGTTAAATTGGATATCATGGGCTAAATGGGATGGAAGAAAAACAGACTTGGTACTTAATTCATAAAGAATGAAAAATTATGGTTATGTTCCACAGTTCTTCCACTGGAGCCGTCAAGGTTCTGTGATAAAACTAACTCAGCAGACACTAATCTAGAACTCTGTTCACACACAAATTGAAGACAATACTGATTAACATTGGTTTCAATACAGAAAAATGTTTTAATAATTCATATGCGCTTTGTACTGCTAATTTCAGTTATACAGCTGATTTTCCCATTGCCCTTTCCCAATTCCACTGATACTAAGGTTTTTAATATTTTCTTCAATCCTGAGTTTTCAGAAAACTCTTCCAAACCTCACTCTCTAATAACTTAAAGGCACTCCTTAGTGCATTAGTAGGTACTTGAAATTTTGGGGTACCAACTCAATCATAAAGAACGAAGACCATTATGAATAAGTTTAAAAAGAAATATCAAATCAGTTTAAAAGCAGTCATGTTCATAACAGAAGTGGATAACCATCAGTGCCACAAATTTTAGTTGTACACATGGCAGAATCATATGAAAATAATGAAAATTTTGCTAAATACCATAAATAACAAGATGCATATATGGCATGTCTGTAGATATTTGACTGTAAGTCAAAAGCATAAGCAAGTTTCAACTGTGATAAATGTAAAATGGAAGCATATTAAAGGAGTAAAAAAAGTGCTGATTGATTGCTGTTAGATTCAAAAAAGGTATGCATATATAGACAAAATAATTAAGAAAATGTTAGTTAATTATCATATTACTTCGAATTTTAGCTGCATCTTTTATTTCCATTTTTAAGATTCAGAATTATGGAGTAGTTTAAATTCACAGCGAATGTTTTTGCATCTTATTTTTCAACAAATTACGAAACATTTTATATTTACTGCACCTATTTGAGAACTTAAAAAAAAAAAAAAAAAATTGCAGTCAAACGTCGTTAATTCGGACTCGTCGGGACTTCGGCAATTCCGGATTATAGATTATCAGTTTAAATCTGGTAAGATAGCAATGCAGAAATTACAAAATTAAAAATATGAAACCATAATTTATGAAATAAAAGAAAAATTATGATCTAAAGAGTATAAAAATTTACAAAAAAAAGCTTAATATTTATTTGTTTACTTTATTAAACATTTCTTTCAATGCGCGCATGCGTAAAGCATACATTACGCACAGTCAAAATTAGAAAATTGCAACCAGAAAACTATTTTATGCGTATTCGTGATATTTATAATGACGAGGAAATTGATTTAAATCATATCGGAGTACATCGAGATGAAACACTACATTTAGTAAGGAATAATAAACCAAATAAAATAAAAACATCTGCCCTGAAGATGAGGATAGTGCTGACAGATCAATTTCCAGTTCATTGCGCGATGCGACCCCCCACCCCCCACAGAGCAGCGTGAAATTGATAAACAGATTTCAGAATGGTTAAGAAACAAAGGATATAACTTTATCCATTTTTTGCAGCAATTCCACTTTTTGTTTAATGGATTTTGAAACATACTTTCGCTTTGTAGATCCTTTACATATTAGTAAATATATATTGGAAATTCTATTTGACATAATTGAAAGTTCAAGCTTACTTTTATAAAACTGCTCTGCTGCAAAAAATAATAAGCCGGATCCAATTCGAAGATTAAGGAACAACGCAATCTGCAACATTAACTGAATTAGATAATTTTAGCTTAGCTTATACTGTCCATTATACATGAAACGCGCATGCGTAAACATATTATGCGCATGCGCACACGCAATTTCGCAGCCGTAAAGGTCTTACGCGCGCATTGACGCATGCGCAGAAAGTTTGTAGCTTTGAGGTCCGGATTATAGGTGTCCGAATTAACGACTTTTGACTGTATTATTTTATTTTCCAGTAATCAGTAATGAAATCCTTTTTATTCCTTACACCTTTTTCAAATCTGAAATCCTACTGGGCTTACATTAAATTCAAAGAAATCTTCCCTCCTCCCAATTTTAAAAATCTTACTATGTCTTAAATTTGAAGTAATATAATAATAATCCCTAATATAATGACTCATATCTGTAAAATAACAGCCATTTTGCCAAAAATATACAGCTGAATGTTAAAAGGAATAGTAAAAATTTAGTAACTTACAACCAACTTCACTGCAAAAAGTATACATTTAAGTATCAGTAATAAAATGCATTTAATTTTTTGTTTGGCTAATTTATATAACCAAATGAAATACTTTTAATTCATTTTATAACATAATAGTGAACTATTCTGGTAACAGTAATTGAAAAAATTAATAAAAATAAAATATACTGAAATGTGAAGTTTGGCATCTCAAACATATCACTGCTCTTTTAAAAAAGGCACATGCTTTATATATGATGATATTCCTAATCCACTTAGATGTTTACAGCATTTTCCAATTAAATTTTTAAAAGAAATATCTAATTGGTTAAATAGTTTGTACTGTACTGATTGTTAGAGAAAAAATTAGACAATTATGATTTTGATTATATATGTAAAATTGCAATTATCTTACTTAAAACATTACATAGGAAAAAAATCCTTTTAATTAGAGAAGTAAAAAATGTGATACTTCACAGAAAAACAGAATTATTCCCAAATAATATGATTCATTCATTCATAATTTGAAAATGAGTAAAATAATTTCTTTTTCACATAAATGTTTTATGCATGCTATTGCACAAAATCAGAAGGATGACTATAATAGATTGCTAATTTTGTAAGCTACATTAAGAAACAAATGCATAATTAATATGATCTGACAGCATTCATGAAAACTGAATTGCACATATTACTTCAAATTTATCATTAGTATTGCATTACATACAGGAAGTAGTCCAAAAAGCAAAAGTAGCAGCTACCAGTTTTAGCTTAAAATATATACCATTTATTGGATAAATGGAAGATAATGGAAAATTAAATTACATTAAATTAAATTAAATTTGAAAGAGAAACATAGTCAAGATTTTAATGTACAGTTAGATTTGGGCATTTACTAAATATCCCAGAAACAGAAGCCATTTTTCTCCCCATTGCAACATTAAAAAATGTTGATATTCAAATTAGTTTTACTAAACTGCATTTTGCTAAAGTTTACAGTAGCCAAATATGTACCGCAAAACAAATTTTCATTTCTAGAAGAAAGTATACTGAATATTTATTTCTGTTTTAACAGAATTTTCTGAAGGGAAAGAAGGTGAATTTTAAGCAGAGATTTGGATTCAATATATCCCAACTCCTTCGAATTTAACCTTTTCCTGTGGGCTATAGCCATTAATTTTCCATTCATCTTGGCCATTTAAGCAAGTATTCAGGCAAGAAAGTAAAGAAAAACAATATGATAGGTTCTGCCACATTTCACTCCACTTTAGTCAAAAATTTTCAAGTTTCCAAAGTGGACTAAAAGTCTTTAAGCTTTATTTAATGTAATCCCACTTCCAGTAATGTAACCAATGCATGGGATATATATGTCCCATTCCCAGGAAAAAATTAAACAAGTATATTTAAAAAATTATTGGTCTCTGTTTTATCTCCAAATTTAGCAAAAATGAAATTCACTTCTTCCAATCTTTTACTGACAGTCAGAGGAAGAAATAGACAAATAAATCCAAGCAAGATTCCAGCAGTTATAATTCTTTTTTTTTTTTTTTTTTTTTTATTTCACTTTGTTTACAGCATAAATAAAAGTGAACAGTATTCTGATCGGTGAGAATGAAAAATTGAAGCAGACTTTCAATTTAAAAAGAGTTCTCAGAATCTGGAATGCGTTGTTTCTTCAAAACTTCAAATCTCGCAATAACATCAGAAATACTGAATTCACCATGTACTACATTGTCTCTTGTCCGGACATTAACAGTATTTGAGGATTTTTCTCTTTCTCCAACCACTAAAATGACATAAAAATATTATCAAAATCATAATGTCAGTGAAATGAAATTCATTATAAGTATGTATAAGTATTTAATCATAAAGCAAGTCTGAAAATCCTATGTAAAATTTTGCAAAAATACATCTGAGTAACATAAAACAAATTTGTTCTGCTATAATACAGCATAATGGTACACTGTCATAAAGGTACCCTGCATTGTTATGCAAGTCAGCCACTAGGCAAAAAGACTGAAACATTACAAAGATATTCACACCCTTATGAAGATCTATTTCTAACTTGTAAAAAGCAATCTTCATGAAAGTTCAAGAACCAAAAACAACAGCAAATTTAGTTTGTTATCCTTAGTAAAGTAGATGAAAATCAGACTTGAATTTTGGTTTCCTTTGCAAGATTTCCATTGTGGTTTACATAAATGTGTCCCATTTTTAAGTTTGCTTTTTCTAAACTAGAAATAAATCATCATAAAAACGTGAGAAATTTTTGGCCAAGAGCCCTTATGAAAATTTTTGCCTTTTCAAACAGCGGCTGATTCACATGAAGAAATTAAGACATCTTTGTGATAGGGCAACATGATGAAGGCATTTCATTATAAAAATTGTACCAATTCCATTACACTGAAGAAAAATTTTGAAACTTTAATTTATATACTTACCAAAAATGAAATTGTACTGAGCAACTTGCGCATTACGTATCTTTTTATTCATAGTGTCTCCTTGATCAACATCCATTTCACATATAAAACCAGCATCACTAATTTCACGGCATACCTACAAACAGAATAACATAATATTGTGGATATTCAAAGTAATTTAAAAGCAGAAAAAAAAATTTATCTAACTGAAAGTTGAACTTGTATAAAATTTAACTTTAATTTTAAATTATACATTTTCAACATTCATTTTGACAACTTAATTTTTACTGGATATAACTATATATTTTCAAGTATTTGTTGTAGCACTTTTAATGTGAATTTTTAATATAAACACATTTTATGTATGCAAGTTAACTTCTGAAGTTTCAACTTTTTTGTTTATTCATATAAATGATTTTTGCTATTGCATAATAATGAAATTCAAAATTTAAAAATAATGAATACCTCAAATAATGTGTAATATTTTTTGTAATTTTAGAAACTTTATTCTCCAGGGAAATTGTAATTTTTAAATGAAGAAAATTTTAATTTGAATCTGAGTTCTTATAAACAATTAGTAAATATTAAACTAAAAAAAAATTAAAAAAGACTCGAAAACCAGAATCAAGTATTATCATTAAATAAGAAATGTAAAAATACATAAATCTATGTATACTTTATAAGCAACAGACATATTAGACTTAATTTAAGAAGAAAAAGCTAACTGAAGCAGTAAATAAGCGTTTAATTTAATGGTGACAAGACACTTAACAATACCTTTTGAGCATAATCTTGAAACATTGGTCCTACTGGAACAACAATAGATTGACGAGGTGATAACCAGAAAGGCCTGAACAAAAAATTTCATGCAATTATCAGAAATAAATAAGTAAGAAATAAAGTTTGAAATATGGGCAAACAAAAATTATTCATTTAATTACATCTATTAAAAACTCAAAATGAATAATTAACACAACAACAATAATGCACAGACTTCCATATACCACATCTGCTGTTGTTGTGCCAGTGTTATGTTTATACAAGTCTCTTTAGCACTATGAGATAGGCAGTAAAAAATTCTTCCTGAATTTCTGTTCATTAGCGTAAACAAATAAAAGAAAGACAGAAAAATTGTTGAAATTTATACTATGCTAATATTTATTAACTGACAAAAAAGTTACTAAAATCAACAGTCCACACTTCTCTTTTACACCAATGTTTCCTAAAATTATTAGGAAACATCATCTGTTATTAATTATTTTCTTAAATGGCACTTAATTTCAGCAACACTACATTTACAGTGATAAATTAATCATGAATCGATCAATAGTATTTATGCTTGAACTGATGCAGATTTCCTAACGCATGATGATTCACTTTAATTACGGATATGAATTACATGTTCATCAGAGAAGAAAATATTTTAATTTGTGCCAAAACCACTTGTAAAACAAAGCCAATGAGATGGTTGATTTCATTAACCTAATATGATCATTTTAGACTTTGTTAGTTTTTTTTTTTTTTTTTAAACTAAAACAACTATATCCAGATTTATATCAAATCAAAACTTGAGTAATCAAAACACAATCTTCTAAACTTCTTAAATGAAGTTCATCAAACCTTGGAGCAATTTCAATAACTAAATTACTACTAAAATCAGAAATGAGTAATGTAGGGATGTATAACTTAATTCTTCATTATGTAAAAAATTATACAGCATCTATGATGCCATCTATCAATAATTAGTCATTAAAATCAATTAGTTTCTATGACTTTTATTTGTCTGCTATACAAAACTTTGATAAATTTCAAGGATAGATTTAACTCATATAAATGCTCTAGGGAAAAATTTCACTTTGTGCTTGAAATTTGTTTGTATCCTTAAAGAAGGAAATTGCTTACATGAACTCAACTTACCGTAATTTCCGGAAGAAAGGCCACATCAGCGTAAACGCCGCACTCGAGAAAAATGGCGGGAAAAAAATTAAAATTACACAGAAACGCCGCAATAGATTAAATTGAGCGTGACATCGTCGTGGGCCGTATAGATGCAAAAACTCAACCTAAGTCCTGATATATGACATACCAGTTAAGAAAAATTCATGAAATGAAACCATAACTCAAAAATAAATTAAAAGTAAGAAATGTATAGCTTCTGTGCCGTTTAGACATTTTCAAAAATTTTCCGCTTCCTTCTTACTTAAAAACTATTCAACAAGTACTTGTACCCAAACTGATGGGATCTGTATTTGGCAGAATACCAAGAAAAATCCATTCATGCTGAAGGGGAAATACGTCAGAGTTCGTTATTGCGAGGCAGGTGGAGTCGTGTCCGCCTTTGAAAAAAATTGCAGAAAAGGCAGGGGTGGGGAGAGGATGGGTCCTGGAAGATTCATCGAATGGCAGAGGAGAGAGACTATTCAAACTGATGAGAATGTTGATTTGAAAGGGGGAAGAATGTTATTGTTCTGAGATCTCGTTTAGGGTGAATAAGGCATGTAGGTCCGTTCAAGGGAAAGAATGTAAACAAAATAACGTTCTCAAAAAGCAACTGAGTGGTCTTTTGTGTGGGAACAGCACAAGTCTATGCACAATGACAAGGCCATCCAAACTATGTACAATGACCATCATAGGAAATATTTTATTTTTAGTGCACCTAAACGCCACATGGGTAGAAACGCCGCACCCACTGAAAATTTAAGTTTTAAACACGTAAACGCCGCGGCGTTTCTTCCGGAAATTACGGTATATGTGTCCAATCAGAGTTGCAGTTTTTTTATGAGCATAATCTTCATAATCAACAAACAACTAAAGCCCAGTTCATCAATAAGGACAAACATAATATACATATGTGTGTGTGCATGTAATAATTTAGAAGAGAAGATTCAAGTAGCTGCAAAAAAGGCCAATTAACTCATTAATTGCTAAAACTACAAGGAATGATCCTTTTCTTATACAAATATAATAATAAGTATTTATAACATAAATATACACTGAAATTTTTTTTTTTTTAAATGCTCTCACCTGTGGAAAATTCGAGTGTTGCATTGGTGCAACGTCAGTGGAATAAGAATACAGATGTTTAGTGAGTATGACTGTATTCGTCCGAAGTCTTCTTTGAGTGGAGCACTGGATTACTTTTTTGTTCTACAACGTTTTACAAATCTACAAATCACTTTACTTGTAATTAATTTAATATTAAAAGTTATATTGTATTTCTTTTACAAATACAGGTTATTTTCAACTGAAAGATTCAAGCATGAAAAACTTCACTACAATCATGATGTAAAGCAACATCACATACTTTGCATTTATAAACAGTCTATTTATGGCATTCTTTACAACAGTCTTCTGTTACCCTCGAACTTTATAATAAAATGTCTACCATCTCCATGCAATGGCTGTTGAATGCTGAATTTACTAAGTTTTCTTGTTGCTGATCTAATTCTGGCTAATTCTACACTCTATATAAGAGTTTTGAAAAAGAATAATGCAATCTCACGTCCGAAAACTAAAAAATACTTTTTATTTTCAGTAGTAGAAAAACATGATATTTTCTGTGTGTTTGTCATGGATGCATTCATGTAATTAGTAAATGTGGATACATTCATGTAATTAGTAAATATTGGCAACCACCATTTTTTTTGTCACGAACACTTATTCAATAATTGGTTACTAAATTGTCGCATGAATTGAAACCTCACATTTTGGCATTGTATTGTACAATAAGATGAGGCTGAAATAAAAAAAAAAACCTTTTTCCTTTGCATTCTTGTACCTACCTGCGGCCAAGCGGTAAAGATGCTGAACACTGGTAGCTCGGTCCGAGGTTCGAATCCCGTAAACAGGCTGGCTGAATGGCCATTTTCGTAGTTTTCCCTATGTGTAACATGCATACGAGCCAGTTTCCCTTAGAAAGTCCTCGATAAAGGCATCCCCCAACACTTTTCAGTAATCACCTAAACTAAACCAAACCTTTGTTTTCTTGAATAATGGGAAACACTTTTTAATGTGTTAAATTTTTCTAAATACTGAACCAACAGTTCATCCGAAGTCATTCCATCGGACAGAAATTATTTTGTATTTCTCTTCATGCTGGAAATCATAATAACCCTGTCTTTCTCAAGGACATATTTCAACGTTTCTAGTGGGCACATCTGTATGCAGTTTTCTTGAATTGTTCCTATAGCACTAAAAACATTTACTTTTTAGATAACAGAAAAGATGAAATCATAACTGACGGTTCCTTTTTTATCCATTTCAAGTTACCAGTTTTCTGTTTTTTAAAAACTTTGAATACCTTACAGTTTTAATTCTTTTTAAAACTTTTTTATATGACTAGCACTTTTGTATGACCTCATTCTAGAAAGCTGAAACTTATCTTTTACATGAACTTCAACTTCAGTAGTATCATTTGGTAAAATATCATTATCATTCAAATCATTATCATTCTCTTCTTCTTCATTACTAGATTCTGCAATTTCTTGTGAAACAACAACAAGTTTCATTCTGGTCAATATCATCATCTGTTTCTTCATCAAAAAATCTTTGAAGAGCCTTTTCAAATGGAAGGTATTTCATTCGAGGCATTTTTAAAGCATAGAATGAATATCAACCAGAGCATCTAAAGACATGAGTAAAAAAAGGGAATAACCCTTTTCCCACTGATGTTTCACCAGCATAACACCTATTGTCCTGTCCATCCCTGTACAAACACAAACAGCTGATTGATGGAATGTTCTGATAAGTGATGACCTTGGCTAAAATATAGATCACCCCTAAAGAAGGCTATTCTTTCATTAATTTTTTTTAAGCAAAAATACCTGTTTGCAAATTTTGTTTAAATTTTGCTTCAAATACTAGATTAATTATTATAAACAAAATTCCTGTTGAAAAAAAATATTTTTTTACCGAAATAATCTTCATAAGACTCCCTACACAATATCATCTGCTAGCATAAAACATCTTTGGTAGTTTTATATGCATTTATTTTGACCGTTGCATCAACGCAACACTAGCGGTTAATAAGTTAAACACAATTTTTTGCATTCTTGAGAAGTGTAAATTTAAAATAAATTCCACATCACAATGGGCACAATTTGTGCATGCTTGTCTTGATCACATATTTGTTTATTCTACATCTTATGCTAATACAATGGATGGAAAGAGAAAGATAAGCAATAAGATGTTTGTGAGACTGTAAGCAAGCAAAAAGAATGTGTCATACATCAGAAAAAAGTTTCGTGTTTAAGGTTTCTTACTGGATATTAATAAAAAGTTTCTGTTCCAATAGAAATCTTATTCACTGAAGCATTTAAACAGATGCCTGCATCAGTAGTGTTATGTAAGAATCATATAACATACAGCAAGGGTGTTTGTGGGACCCCAAAAAATCCCCTGAAACTTTTACGGACTTACTACCGACATTTTGGAGTTTCGAGAAGGGGGGGAGAGAAATGAAAAATTACAATTATGAAGTATTGAATGACCTAATTATAAAAGTTCAATGAATTACTTTTTTTGCAAAATTAATAACCATAAATTTTCAAACATATAAACTACTACATTTTATGTAAATATTTTAAATTACCTGAATTAATTCTTTAAAAAAAATTATCTAATTTCTGCTGCTTTTTTTATTTTCTGATGTTTGTGGGCTTGTCTTTCTTTTGTGGTGAACTTCATAATTGCAGGAAGGTTGACTTTTATTTTCCTCATTTACAGTTGAAGAAATTTCCTCGAGAACTGCACATGCAGAGGTAGAAGCAGTTTGCTTTTCTGCTAATGTAGAAGGTTTTTCAGAGACTTTTATAGGTGACTCATCTGAAATACATGTTTTTAAGTCCTCTT